ACATGAGAACCCAAAACCTAAGAACTGATCCCTCACCAAGAATAACAGAAACAGATCCATAATGATAACAATAAACAAAGCACCAGAACATCAGAAAACAATCCATAATGCAAAAATAAACCAAAACATAATAAACTCAAAATACTGGGTCCAACGGACCCAGAACCGTGACACTGAGCTCTCTATTCCTAAGGCTACGTTCACACTGCAGGCAGAAGTGCATCAAATATGACTTTTGACCCTATGCGACCCATATCCGATCATGGTATGACAGTTTGAACAGCACTAATCCGATATTTTCAAATCCCACCTAAGTCACTTTCATATGTGGTACTGAATCCGATGCATATCTGATGTTTTAGAAAGCGACTGCTGGTCATGTCGCATTAAATCCGTCTTTTACATTACTGACACAAGACAGACACCAATTATCAGCGCTGGAGAAGACAAATGAGAAAGCATGGCTGCGGAAACTGGAGACGGAGTGAGTCAATGGATGGAACCTGAGGTTTTGGTCTGGATTAGCATATGGGGAGCCAATTCTATATAAGCTAAACGAGTCCGTGTCCATATATACCTCTGCACGGAGCCATTGTTAAAGCACGGGCTCTCTTTTTCTCTCAGTGTCCTTCTTTCTGTAATTAATTAATTAATTAATTAATTTCTGTAATTAATTTGTCAAAATTACGATTACGGAAATTGATACGATTACGTATGCAGTGATGTTCGAGGCCTGGCGGGCAGTCCGTACCACGTGACTGATTCAGGCTTGCCGGTTTGCGCCAGATTCAAAATAAAATGGGCAGCAAAACACAGCTGATTCCCCGTCACATCACACTGTGTTATGGAATTGGATTACATACGTGCTACATAGTTACTTGAGCATTTCTTCTTTGACGAAACCAGCCAGGAAGAATTTTTTTTAATCTTATCTCTCCTAATAAGGTATGCACACAGTAATAAATATCACGAATGATAAGTGCCATAATACAAATAAACAACACTACAGATCCTTTAATCTGATTTCTATCTTTTAGTTTATTAAAAAGTGAAGCGCCACACAGTTTGTGTGATTATCCAGATGTACATAAGCATGATTACACAGTTACACAATCATACCAAAACTCTGTCCTGATAGTTTCCACTTTCTCTTTTGTATCAGACATACTGAGACAATATTCGGGATAAATAACCATGTAAAAATGTATTTATTCAGTTTAGAGGTTTACACATCACATCATGATAATCAAAGAGCCTGTTTCACTTGAATTGCCCACTTGATGGCACAGTAGAGCAAATGAATCATCACAATGCTTCGAACCATGAGTACACCTGAGACTTAGAGACACAAGTTTTCAAAGTGAAAGTGAGAGAGAGAGAAAACGACAAAACCCCAAATCTGCAGCATCATAACAGGATCAGGTTTACTACCAAAACCACTGAACTCATGTGCTGAGAGTTCAGATTGGAGCCTGTAAGACTGTACCTCAGAACAGTTTCTATTGTAAGGACGAGACAGGCATCAAAATCAGAATCCTTATTGTCATTAAATATTAGACGTTCAGCAAACATACAAGTTAAATGCCCACGTATCTGTCTTTGTAGATTTATTACTTCCTCCCTGCACTCCTCTTTTTATCTGTCCTACTTTCCCACCGTCCTTCCCCTCCTTAATGTTTTCCTTTCCATCATGTTCCTTCGTTCCAAACGCTGTTCTTTATTAGTTTGTCCTTCTGACCTCCTCTTCCTCATTCACTCCTTCCTCCTATTCATCTGCTTTGTCCTTCTCTGTATCTCTCTCGCTCTTTTAATTCTCTTGCATTTCATCTCATTTAGTCACTTGGTATTCAACACACTCATATACAGGCGCTCGTTCACCTCCAGACGAGGTCATCAGATCTAATGACGGAGGGTCTGTGCTGAACTCCGTTTGTGCTTGGCAGGTCAGCCGGGTGCCGTGTCATCGTCAGGGTCGTTTCTCCTGCAAGCGACCCTGCGGACGACCTCTGACCTGCGGCAACCACTCCTGCAGCAGAGAGTGTCATCTGGTTAACAGCGGCAATCCAGTAAGGACCTTGTTTAGATGTCTTTTAATGAAATCTGATGAAATAATAAATGATGGTACCAACAGAAACTGCTGTTCCTCTGTCAGACACTTGAGATTGGCACCAAACGGTGAGCGGTCCCCAGAGACTGTATATAACAGATGGATGTAGCTGCTAGGGCACATAAGTCACGATAATACCACTGCAGATATTTTTTAAGTATATATTCACATTTCCTGGCAGGTACAACAATAGCAGCTCTGGCAGGGAGTCAGCCTCCAGTGGCAATTTAGAAAAAACACAGCTACTTTGGATAGTCCACAAAAGTTTGATCCTTTGCACACATCTAAGAAAACTCCTGCTGAAGGTGGAAACAACAAACACACCACTGAGCACCACTGGACTGTGAAGCAGGAAACTACTGACCCAGCAAGCGTTGGTGGAGCACTGTAGTTGTATTTCAAATGACACTGGATACTGGTGACAAAAAAGCAGGGCCGTAAACAGCTGGTTATACACAGCAACCCAAGAGTACGACATCCCAGGGAGGAAATGTATTATAGTTTTTTTATGTGACAAACCACACGTTTATGATAACCTGACTGTGCGACGGGTGTAACAGGTAAAGGATTGCAGTTAAACAGGCCTTTACATTACAGTTAATCCATCGCACAGGAACCTGGTAACTGGTGCTCTAATATTCAAATAAAATCCTCAAATTTCACCAAAACTGGAGCTCAGACGTCTTGAACCACCTGTTGGTAAAGTTAAACACAGCAGCCATGTTATTGGTCAGATAATTTCATTAAAAATGCTCCAATGTGCCGAGGTCACGTCCAGGGACTCCAAATAGCTGATGTCATCATCCACCTGTCAGTTAAAGAAGCCAGGCCCTTAATAATACAATCTGTAAGCCCAATTCAAATTTAAACAGGTAATTTATAGAGTACAGTTGTTAAGAAGTATGAGGCACCTTGTGCTTTTGCAAACATCTAATTACATGTTAAATATCTTATTTGAGATGTTTATTCATAAAAAGTTTCATCATCAGTGTCAACACTTTTTCATGCGTTTACAGTGCAACTCTTCTTTTTATTAAATTTCCTTCCATTGCTTAAGGACTTTGACTGATATAAATAAATAAATAAATAAATAAAAGCTTTCTGTAATCATTTTCCTGACCATCTTTGAGCACATTTTACTTTGAAGTTTGGAATTTGTTTTTTCTTCAACTTTCAATACTCTAAAAGCAGACTTTAAATGTGATCCTGAACCACCCCCAGGACAGATGAGATACACTCAACAAAAATATAAACGCAACACCTTTGTTACTGCTCCCATTCCCCATGGGATGGACGTAGAGACCTAAAATTCATTCCAGATACACAATATAACCATCCCTCCCAAACAGTGGTCACAAATCAGTCCAAATGTGTGGTAGTGGGCACATCTGCTATATTGAGATAATCCATCCCACCTCACAGGTGTGCCACATCAGGATGCTGATCTGACATCATGAGTAGTGCACAGGTGTACCTCAGACTGCCCACAACAAAAGGCCACCCTTTTTTTCTCTCTCTCCCATCTTGATTGCACAAAGTAATTTGCAATTGCTACTCTAAAATATGAATTACATCTGTAATAATCACATACACGTAATAGAATGTTAATAGTACATTTCCCTTTTTTAGGGAATGACCTGTATGTATCTGTGTGAAATCAATAAAAGGATCAGGTGCTGCATTATCTTTAGTTACATTGATGTTATTTATTTATGGTGAAACAGTGGTGGAATATCGCTGTTGCTTTCGTATAAATGAAGCGGACATACCTGAGTGGCCGTGATCTAATCCTGTTTACATAAAGTAAACCTGCTCCCGAGCAGGTTTACGCTTACGGCTCTGTTGCTACGACAGCAAGTCCCGGATGAGCTTCGGGGAACCGAACGATCCAGGATCACGCGAAATCGTCAACAATCTCATCCAGCTAACTTACTTAGCGAGGTACGAAGAACGGGCCCCAGCAGACAACTTTTAGAGGTCAAACGTATTATTCACAAGGCAGATGTAACACCCATTTATACCAATAGATGGGAGAAGACTTTAAATGTAAATCATACCCATTACAGGCCTCTTTACTGGTTTAGGGGCTATTGTCAAGAGCAAGGTCCAGTCTGAGTCATATTTTCTGCATTTTATCAGAAACTGAAACATTTTCAGCTCTCTTGAGAAGCTGCTACAAGAAAATTTTCAGGATTTTTGCAATGTTAGCTGCTGGTTGGTTTCTGGGTGAAATAGTCTGAAACACACACATCCTGTATTGAAACATTTCTTTGAAGATTACAGCTAGGGCCATGCTGGTTTTAGTCTGCATTGTTTTTTTTCCACTGAAAGCAGGCATGTGCACTTAGCCGGAATGAAGTCAACTTTTTCCAACCCGTTCTCACTCCCAAAGCGTAACATTTTACGCTAGGTGACAAATCGTCATCATATTACGTTTTCGGCTACCCACCGACCTCGGAAAAAAGAGGAAATATGAGAACCGTCTGGAATGAATCTACACATGCTCGCTCTTTTTCTTCAAATCGCTTAGAAACACGCTATTTAACATCATTAAAGTCCTGGTTATGGTCAGGAATAAGGTTATGGTCAGGGCTAGGGATAAGGTTAGGTTTAGGGCTGGAATACAGGGCTGGAACGTCCATTACCGCGGGAGCGTCATTGCACTGGATTCCAGCCATAACCCGCCGCGTACCATAAGAACGCCGAAGGTCTCCTTTCGCGTTCCTCAGAAACGCCGCGGGACGTGACAAAACGTCGACATGTTACGCCTCGGGAGTGAGAACGCTCTGACTTTTTCATGTGAAATTGTCGTGAAACCCACTTAACCAGGTGAGAAAACCAAAGTAAGATCAAAACTTTATTGAGCTTCATAAAACTGAACATCAAACACAAATAAATATAAATATCACTAAACTTATTGAGGACATAAATACATATCTAAATATTTATATTGTTCCTGAAGATTATGGAGGAAGAAACAATTTTGAAAATACGATGTGGTTTTCTAAGTGACAAAAACACAGGAAACATGAAAATAAAGCGGAGGTACTGTGGTCTGAGGTGCTGCAGGGAGCAGTTAGAGACGAGCAGTGTGCATCAGTGGTTGGACTGGTGGTTGATGATGTCCATCCAAAGTAGTTTTCAATTTCGCATCACTTCACTGAAGTGTAGATAACGTCTGACTCTGGTTTAAAGTGTGAACACAAACACAGATCAAACGGAAGTAAATATGATTCTGTCCCTAACACGCAGTCCTGACTTTGCTGGAAACCACATCAGCTGCAAATCACAATGTGAATCTCTTGTGCAAATGCTCTGCTTCCTTATTTGAGTTTGCTATTGTGAGTGCAAAAGTGCATTCGTTCTAAAAAGCACTGTTACACTTAATGCAAATATCTTAATGGGATAGAGTAGTCATAACTGGGACTTCAGCCAAATATTCATAAATTTGGATGTTTCACACCCCATTAGCTACCATTAGCTCACACCAGGTGGCAGCTGGCCGGATTGGACAAATGGACGAAGCTAAATAAAAACGATAATGAGTGCTCTTCATTTGCACTGCAGCAGGAAGTAGCTTGGAAGCATAAATAGAAAATAGAAGTGTTAGGTTTGTTTTACAATTAAATTAAAGAACTATAAAAACCGTGACCCTCTACCTGAGCTTTCGACTCACAGGCATTGCACATAAACTGACCCCATTATTAGAAACTCTGGTCATGTTCAGTGTGAACATTTACCTCTGGAACATGAGCTGTATGACAGGAAATGAAATGTCTGCCTAAAGATGAAGATAAAGAAAAGCTGTACCTGCGGTCGTCTTTGGGCTGATGGTTGTTTGTCCATAACTGCCAGGTTTTTTTCTCACTATTGAGTAAACTAAAGCTGAATCATCCTCTGCATAATAAAACACAAAAAGGCAAAGAATGTTATTTATGCTTATGTAGCTTCATGAAAAGATGAAATAATAATCTTTATATAACTTTTATAAATAGCAGCAGATTTTCAAAGTATTTTTATCCACTTCTTAAGATCATAGCTGTGAACCAGCAAAGAACTGGTGGGTGTTCGTGTGAAAGGAGAACATGGACGACCACAAAGCCTTTTTTGATGCAGGCTGATGCACTTTACCACAGACAAAGCAAACACTTTCTCGTAATGAACACTATTGTTAGCTAAAGCAGGGCACTCTGTGGTGAGAATCGGCATCAGACTGAAGCTAACTGAAATCAAAAACAGGAAGCTGCTGCTGTGGTTTTAAACTTTAAGAAGCCTGAAAAGAAACAAAGAACTGTGTCAAAGGAAGTTTGTTCTGTTAAGTTAAACTCTCAAATGTATCCTGCTAAAATGTTGTGTGTGCACTGAGGAGCACAAGGTAGCAAACTGACCTTGAGGTGACTTTTGTTGTAAATTGGCAGTGGTATATATAATTCACCTGAAATTGAATCTTTGTCTAATCTGAGCTGCATTTTGGGTTTATTGAAATTTTGGACTTCTATTCCTCTAAAGCACTGCTGATGTTCTCTGGGCAAAAATGGACTAAAAGTCACAACACGACCAGTCTGTAAATTTTGTTGAGGCCAGATGAGGTTAAAAGGAAACTGGTGATGTTAATATTTAAACCAAAGTCCTGAAGTCTCTGGATGCAATGGGGCTGTTGTAATTGACATATCACCCCCATACCACTGTTTGGACATCGGGAACAGTGGCCTTGAATTAGTAGCATTAGGTGATGATCTCACATTTCAAATCCAAAGACACAGCGTGTATTTTATTTTCAGGAGGCTCATATTCCTTACCCTCCCTAAGAAGGTCAATGCCAGGAGTACTGACAAGTCCACCCATTAATCAAACCTTGGATAAAACAAAAAACAGTTCAGCCTACATCCTGGTCATGGAAAACTGGATGGGCTCTACATCCTCTCTGGGATAAAAGTGTGCAAGATAGTTAGCCCAGTTAGTTGGGTTTTTTTTTTTTTTTTTTTTTGTATTTGGAGAATACTTTCAGCAAAGACGGCAAACAACAAACAACAAAGTCCTGTTGGTGGCATTTCAGAAGTCTCAGACCTGCTGTTTTGGATAGTTTATGGGTCAATCAGAAAGTAATGTATTACATATCCTACGTTACTTATGTTGAAGGTAGTGTACTAGGTTACTTAAGTGCTCACTGAAGAAAATACTTCATTAAACTACTTGGTACTCCCTGAAATAACCTGAAATGCATTGTCTAATAATTAGAAGTTAGCAATATAAATCTTAGCCTACAGTCCCAAACATTGATGTAAATCCTTTTAATGGGTCACATCAGGGCTGTTGTTTGCAAAAGAAAAAACACACAGACACGAGCATCATTATTACCTGTGCTTTCTTGTGTTCCTTCAACTTGACTGTTTGATATTTTGATTTCACTCTCTGTAATGCCATCTTCTGCTGCCATATCTTGATATGCTGAAATGTAACAGTAAAGTTATTTACTGTAAATATTATAGAAAAAAATGAATCTAAAGAAACTGACCTTCAGGTTTCCTGTGATGACATAGTCTTACCAGCAGAACCAGTAACACCAGTAGAACCACAACACAAACTGATGACAACACAGGAATTACAGGATAAAAGAGTGATGTAGGAAGAGTGATGGAGGTGGAACCAGGAGGATAGGTGGATGTAGGTGGAGGTGTGGTGGTTTGTTCCCCTAAAATAAAGCAAACACAGTCACTAAGTTGTCATCACATTGTGAATGTTGAAAGCTGCAGAAACACAGACAGGTGAGTGTGTCACCTGTGACAGTGATCCAGCTGGATGGAGACTCTCCATGACCGCTGATGTCACACTTGTAGAGGCCTTCATCAGACCTGGAAACATGCTGGATGGTCATGTGACCTGTAGGCTGCTTCCTGATGAGGGAGCCTTCTTTATAGAAAGCAGCTGGGAGGTTGGAGGGAGTGGTCTTTGTTTTACAGAGCAGAGTGACGTCATCTCCCTCCATCACAGGGAGGACAGGACTCTGCAGGATCACTGATCCACCTCAACACAGAGACAAACTACAGCATTTCATCCATTTACACACAGCTTCATCAACACTAACTCCACACACTCAGCTTACCAGTGACTGTCAGCTTAACCATGTTACTGATGGGACCCTCTCTGGACTCACACCAGTAAACTCCACTGTCTCGTTCAACAATGTAACTGATGTCACATGAAGAGTTAACTGATGTCCCCCACCCATCTCCACACCGAGTGGTGTTTGGTTTTCTTGTGTTTCTCCTCAGAGTCCATCCAGCAGAGCTGTCGTCCTCCTCACAGCTCAGAGACACAAAGTCTCCTTCAAAGATCTGAGAGCTGTTGGGACTCACAGTCAGATGAGCTGTGAGGGTTAAAATTAAAAACTGATGATTAAATATACTTTTGAAAAATATGATGCCACATTGAAATAATTGCATTGCAGAATAATTCATTTATATATAAAGCTGAGATCTATTGTGAAACATGAACCCAATCAGGTCATATCAGTGAGCATTTCTCAGGTTTAAACTGTGACAGAAGAAGGTTACTGACCTTGGTTTGTTGTGCAGCTCAGCAGTGAGATCAGAACTAAAGAGAAATGACACTCAGGTTGATTTGAGCATAAAGAACAACTCCACACAAACAGACAAACACACAAACTTGTCTCTGTTTTTGTATATCTGCACATTTGCTACCAAAAACATGTTTCTATATCATTTGGACACGCATCTCTCTTTGATACATCTCGGAGGAAATCTACACAGGAAGCATGCTGGAAAGACAGCTGTATCCACTAGAGTATTAAACTTCTGGCTGCTCCTTTATTCAGAAGAGGTCACCACAGCAGGTGCCTCCACATCTTTTATTTGGTAAAGATGTCCTTCCTTATGAAAACTCAAAGATTTTTTTTTAACTTCCCAGGGAGCTAGGAATTATTCACTTGTCAAGCAAATCTGTTAAATACCACAATGTAAAACTATCACCTATCACGTAACTAACTACCTATCACCAACTAATGGCAAACCTTCGAGCACAGAAAGCTCAGAAGGTAGAGTGCTTGCCCCACGATCGGAAAGTCAGGATTCACTGAACAGCTACCCTGAGCTGTATTGGTGGCTCCCCACTTCTTCACTTTTTGAATGGATTAAATGCAGAGGCCTAATTGCAGAAGTTGCAAATAACTACACTATGAGTATACACAAAATATCCACTTTTTAAAAATAACACAGTAAAGTCATGTCTCCACTGTGCAGCTGTGTTGATATAATGAGTGAATGATTTGATCTTTTCACTGCCTACTGTGTTTCCTCGACTCCTGAGCAAAGATAAAGAGTCAGTTCAGACCTGCAGTTGGTCCTCGTGGTGTTTTGAACTTGAATTTTCTCTAATTGATCTTTCTGAGTTAACTTCAATAATTACTTCCTCCAAACCATCAACGTGTCTTTTAGACCCCATTCCTACAAAACTGCTCAAAGAAGTCCTGCCATTAATTAATTCTTCGATCTTAAATATGATCAACCTATCTCTAATAATCGGCTATGTACCACAGGCCTTCAAGCTGGCTGTAGTAAAACCTTTACTCAAAAAGCATCTCTAGACCCAGCAGTCTTAGCTAATTATAGGCCAATCTCCAACCTTCCTTTCATATCAAAAATCCTTGAAAGAGTAGTTGTCAAACAGCTAACAGATCATCTGCAGAGGAATGGTTTATTTGAAGAGTTTCAGTCAGGTTTCAGAGCTCATCACAGCACAGAAACAGCTTTAGTGAAGGTTACAAATGATCTTCTTATGGCCTCTGACAGTGGACTCATCTCTGTGCTTGTCCTGCTAGACCTTAGTGCAGCATTCAATACTGTTGACCATAATATCCTATTAGAGCGATTAGAACATGCTGTAGGTATTACAGGTACTGCGCTGCAGTGGTTTGTGTCATATCTATCTAATAGACTCCAATTTGTGCATGTAAATGGAGAGTCCTCTTCACACACTGAGGTTAATTATGGAGTTCCACAGGGTTCAGTGCTAGGACCAATTCTGTTTACATTATACATGCTTCCCTTAGGCAGTATCATTAGAAGACATAGCATACATTTTCACTGCTATGCAGATGACACCCAGCTCTCTGTCCATGAAGCCAGATAACACACACCAATTAGTTAAACTGCAGGAATGTCTTAAAGACATAAAGACCTGGATGGCCGCTAATTTTCTGCTTTTTAATTCAGATAAAACTGAGGTTATTGTACTCGGCCCTGAAAAGCCTAGAAATATGGTATCTAACCAGATTCTTACTCCGGATGGCATTACCTTGGCCTCCAGTAACGCTGTGAGGAACCTTGGAGTCATTTTTGACCAGGACATGTCCTTCAATGCACATATTAAACAAATATGTAAGACTGCTTTCTTCCATTTGCGCAACATCTCTAAAATTAGAAATATCCTGTCTCAGAGTGACGCTGAAAAACTAGTTCATGCATTTATTACTTCCAGGCTGGACGACTGTAATTCATTATTATCAGGATGTCCAAAAAACTCGCTGAAAAGCCTTCAACTAATCCAAAATGCTGCAGCAAGAGTCCTGACAGGGACTAGAAAGAGAGCATATTTCTCCTGTTTTGGCTTCCCTTCATTGGCTTCCTGTTAAATCCAGAATTGAATTCAAAATCCTGCTCCTCACATACAAGGTCTTAAATAATCAGGCCCCAACTTATCTTAATGACCTTGTAGTACCATATCACCCTATTAGAGCACTTCGCTCTCGCTCTGCAGGCCTACTTGTTGTTCCTAGAGTATTTAAAAGTAGAATGGGAGGCAGAGCCTTCAGTGTTCAGGCCCCTCTTCTGTGGAACCAGCTTCCAGTTTGGATTCGGGAGACAGACACTATCTCTACTTTTAAGATTAGGCTTAAAACTTTCCTTTTTGCTAAAGCATATAGTTAGAGCTGGACCAGGTGACCCTGAATCCTCCCTTAGTTATGCTGCAATAGACGTAGGCTGCCAGGGGATTCCCATGATGCATTGAGTTTTTCCTTTCCAGCCACCTTTCTCACTCACTATGTATTAACAGACCTCTCTGCATTGAATCATATCTGTTATTAACCTCTGTTTCTCTTCCACAGCATGTCTTTATCCTGTCTTCCTTCTCTCACCCCAACCGGTCGCAGCAGATGGCCCTGCCCCTCCCTGAGCCTGGTTCTGCCGGAGGTTTCTTCCCGTTAAAAGGGAGTTTTTCTTTCCCACTGTCTCCAAAGTGCTTGATCATAGGGGGTCATATGATTGTTGGGTTTTTCTCTGTATCTATGAAGCGCCTTGAGGCGACTTATGTTGTGATTTGGCGCTATATAAATAAAATTGAATTGAATTGAATTTAGCCTGATTTGTTTTTCATGTCTTCTCCTTATCAGGAGAGCAGACAGTCAAAGTACAAGAATTCAAACAAGCACAGAGATTCTACTTACAGAGCAGACACAGCACAGATGTTTCCTTCATCGTCCTTCTCACTCATTTGAGCTTTTTTTCATTTCTGTCACTGACACCAAGTAAAGCCCGCCCTCTTCCTCTGAGCAGGGTTTTTTTTTTTTGTAGTGGTTCAAAGACACTTTGGTATTGTGCAAAGATAACATCATTTGAAAATATAACTACAAACACACGCTTTCAATAAGAACAGTTACTGAAAGCTGCTTCACATACAAGACCAGAAATTCAGAAAAAGTGATTACAGAAAAAGGCCTCTGTGGTGAATAAGCAAAGACAGAAATGCTAGTGGCATGCGGTGACCTTTACAGGCCCACACACACAAAACATTTAACTCGGCTATTTAACAAGACAAAATAAACCAGACTAAAAATATACCTATTTTGTATACACTGACAGCCTCCCACAACATATCGTCACCTGAAGATACGTAAAATATTGGCTTTATATACAATATTACCAACATTACCAAAAACACATTTACCACTAGCTGACTGTGACAAGTGGTAGAAAAGTATTTAGAATCATTTCCTAGAGAAAAAGTATGTATGTCATTTGTTGGTGGGCTTTAACTTTCCCAGTGAAATATATTTTTCAATTAGATAGTAACAATATTCAATATCAGTTCAAGTTTGTTTTATTTATAGAGCACCAAATTACTACAATAGTGTCACGGTTTGCGGGGGCAAGCCGTGTGGAATATATATATAGGACCAAAAGGCGGCAGCTCTGGTGCAGGTGAGTGTTTATTAACAACAAAATGCAAACAACAAGGGCGCTAGGAACATGAAACTGAAACCTAAACTGGGTAAACTAACAACACAAACCAGAACCGAGGATGCAGGGAGATCCGGAGAACTATACACGGAGAGACGCAGGGAGAACGAGGGGAAACAACACAGATGAACCAGCAACTACTATGACAGAAGACACAACTTAAATACACTCAGAGAACACAGGGGGATTACATACAGGTGGGGACACAGCTGGGAGTAATTAACATGACGAGACTAGGGAGGCAAACTGAAAACACTCACATAAGACACAGACCTTCACAATAAAACAGGAACTTACACATGAAGGACACAAACTAAGAAACGCGGACTAGATACAGGAACACACGGGCAGAACAGAGTAAACACTAACCAGAGGGAGAACAGAACCAAAATCGCGAAGAGAAAACACAAAACGCTGGGTCAAAAGGACCCAGGATCATGACAGTACCCCCCCTCAAAGGCTGGCTCCAGACAGCCCAACAAGAAACAAAACAGCCAGAAAAAAAAACAAAAAACAACCCGACCAGGGCGGGCGGCGGGGGCCCAGGAAGGAGGGCTCGAAGCAAAACAAAACCGGAGCACCAGAAGGCCAAAAGAAAAAAACAAAAAACGAGCCCAAAACCAAAAGAAACGAAGCACACCAAAACACAGGAAAAAACAGAGTCCAAAACAGAAGAGTTCAGGGGGCCGACAGCACAGGAGTCCAAAATAGTTCAGGGGGCCGGCCAGGGGGCCAACAGCACAGGAGTCCAAAACAGTTCGGGGGGGCCGGCCAGGGGGCCGACGGCACAGGAGTCCAAAACAGTTCGGGGGGGGCCGGCCAGGGGGCCGACGGCACAGGAGTCCAAAACAGTTCGGGGGGGCCGACCGTGCGGACGGCAACGGCGGCGACGTGGATACAGTTCGGGAGGCCGGCCGTGCGGACGGCAACGGCGGCCACTCAGGCGATGGCGGTCCGGGGGCCGGCCGTGCGGAAGGCAACGGCGGCCACTCAGGCGATGGCGGTCCGGGGGCCGGCCCCGACGGCGGTGACGTCCAGCAGGTGGCCCGGAAAATGGCCGGCGATATCGAGGTGCAGCACGAGGCTTGGGCGGCGGCATAACAGCCGCAGGACCAGGCGTAGCAGAAGCAGAGGCCGCAGGACCAGGCGTAGCAGAAGCAGAGGCCGCAGGACCAGGCGTAGCAGAAGACTCTGATGAAGCCGGACCAGACGAGGTTGCAGAGGCTGAGGCCAGACCAGGCGGAGCTGCAGAGGCTGAGGCTGGGCCAGGCGAAGCAGAAGCCAAAGCTGGACCAGAAGCAGAGGCTGAGACTGGACCAGGCGTAGCAGAAGCACAGGCAGAGGCTGGCCCAGGTGATGACGAAGACTCGGATGCAGCTGGACCAGGCGACGACGAGGCGGTCGCAGATGGCGGCTGGACAGGCTCCTCGGGCCCTCCAGCTGATGCGGCGTGAGGCTGAACGGGCCCCTCGGGCCCTCCAGCTGATGCGGCGTGAGGCTGAACGGGCCCCTCGGACCCTCCAGCGGAGACAGGAGGCTGAACGGGCCCCTCGGACCCTCCAGCGGAGACAGGAGGCTGAACGGGCCCCTCGGACCCTCCAGCAGAGACAGGAGGCTGAACGGGCCCCTCGGACCCTCCAGCAGAAGCCATCACAAAGCCAGCAGGCATGGAGTCCACTGGCAGACATGAAGGAAATGGATGCTGTGCTGAGCACTGGCCCTGCTCAGACAGCACTGACACGGGGCACTTCCCAGGTGGCTGCTTAAACTCCAGGGGTCCAGAATCAGCTGAGGACTGGGACCTAGCCTCTGGGGAAGCCCTGGAGCGGCAAACAGTGCCAATGGCGGCTGAATCATGAAAAGCACCTTGAGTAGGACTTAGGCTTTCTCCCTGCACGGAGTGAACGGGTGGAACCGGTAATGCTGGAGCTACTGGGGCCTGCGCTACAGGCGGCACTGGAGCTACTGGGGCCTGCGCTACAGGCGGCACTGGAGCTACTGGGGCCTGCGCTACAGGCGGCACTGGCTGCGGGGGAGCTAACTGGGCTGAGAGTGGCTGCGGGGGAGGTGATATGCTGTTCACAAAGTCATCTGCCGCACAGAACACCGCCCCTGAATGAACAGTCATACAGTCCGCAAATGGGAAACAGTCCTCACTCACCACAGCCGGCGAATTAGAAGTCCGAACGTCCAGCTGTGGTGTGGCGCGCTTGCGGCGCGATTGGCGTCTCCTCCCCGCAGACGGCTCCGACGGGCCGGGCAAGATCACATCCGGCGAGTCGGGCAGCGAGGCAGGAGTGGCTGAGAGAAGGTGCGGTGTGAGCCGGAGAAAAGCCTGCATGGTCGGAGGAAGCGAGTCCAATAGCCATGGCAGGCCGGAAAAGAGCCGTTGCAGCCGGTCTTCTGCTGCGCGGCGAAGCTCTTCCGGGGGATGTTCCAGCCATAGGCTGAGAAGGATCTCCACATTGTATGTGATGTCGTCCTGGAGCTCCTCGGACGGATTTACTGCCGCTGGGTCCATGGTGGCTGGTTCGTTCTGTCACGGTTTGCGGGGGCAAGCCGTGTGGAATATATATAGGACCAAAAGGCGGCAGCTCTGGTGCAGGTGAGTGTTTATTAACAACAAAATGCAAACAACAAAGGCGCTAGGAACATGAAACTGAAACCTAAACTGGGTAAACTAACAACACAAACCAGAACCGAAGATGCAGGGAGATCCGGAGAACTATACACGGAGAGACGCAGGGAGAACGAGGGGAAACAACACAGACGAACCAGCAACTACTATGACAGAAGACACAACTTAAATACACTCAGAGAACACAGGGGGATTACATACAGGTGGGGACACAGCTGGGAGTAATTAACATGACGAGACTAGGGAGGCAAACTGAAAACACTCACATAAGACACAGACCTTCACAATAAAACAGGAACTCACACATGAAGGACACAAACTAAGAAACGCGGACTAGATACAGGAACACACGGGCAGAACAGAGTAAACACTAACCAGAGGGAGAACAGAACCAAAATCGCGAAGAGAAAACACAAAACGCTGGGTCAAAAGGACCCAGGATCATGACCAATAGTCACTTCAAGGCATCCAGTGTTGGGGAGTACCAAAATACAAGTACCAGCGTTATGTTTGTAGCTGTGGGTGTTTGGACTTTTAAAGCACTTTAAAGAAAGTTAATGTTCAATTTTAGAGAACGACTGGATGTTTCGAGTAACAGTATAATTTTAGCACTTACAGATCCGACAGTGAGTAGTTCTCGTTACTCATCCAGTCTGAGAAAGCACTGGTTGAAGTGTTTGTGTATTTATTGATTTATTTTAAGTAATTGTGTTTTATGTATATTATGGTTTTATATTTTTACAAATGCTTTATATGTTTATATATGTGTGTATGTGTATATATATGTATGTGTACGTGCACGCACATATGCATGTGTGTATGTATATATATATATATATATACACACACACATTACATTACATTACATTACACATTATTGGCCCAACTAGTAGCCCGGTGTTCCAACATTCTCACATTGACGAGGTACAACATAAATGCTAGAACTGACCTGAAAGATAGGATCATGGCCAAGCTTGAAACCTGGACCCCGTAGCCGGTTACCAATATTACGTGAAAATGAATCAAAGCAATATTTGCTGTTTGTGTGAAACACTACTAAAAATATAAAAAGCATACAGTACTGTACTTGTTTGAGTTCTTTAAGTTGGACTTCTTTTAAGTTTTAAGTTGCTTGAAAATTCAAGCAAGCTTTCTGGTCTGTGTGTTTTATGTTGTCAAGCCTGTGATATTCCTGCATCTCTCCATGTTTCCTGTCTTATTTTAAAAGTCCTCCGTTCTTTGTTCAATGCGTTTAGTTTTACTCTTTACCTTTGGTTTGCTATGTTCATTTGTGTCAGCTGTTTCCACATGTGTTTCCACTTCCCCTGATCACTTCCTGTGTGTATTTAGTCTCTGTGTTTCGTTCAGTCTTTTGTCAGGTCATCTGTGTAAATTCCTTCAATGGTACATAAGGTACATAATCAGATTAAGAGTTTTCATGGTCACGATATATTCATGTTCATGTTCGTTCATCATAGTTATTTGCATGTTCCTGCTCAGAATCATGTTCCTGTCAGTAGTCACAGTTTAATCATAGTAACCACAGTTTAGTTTTCCCTGTTTGGATTTTCAAGTTTTAGTTTTTGTCCCTGTTTGCCTTTTGCCTTATTTTATGTTATCAGTCTGTTTAGTTAAACACACCGGCTACTCAACCGTGACAGGATGTTTATCAGATGAGACGGAGTACTCTTCTACTTCAAACTCATTTATATTGATTGTCTTTCCAGAGACACATCATAACTGATTTATAACTCCATTCACCCAGATGGTTTTATATGGCCAATAGAGGGCGATATTTAACTGTAAATAATACATAGACACAGCTCTGCAGTGATGCTTCTGTAGTTATAAATAAAATTAACTTGTGCGTGTTGTTAGATGACTATATTTTAGTAGTTGCGAAACAGACTGCGCAGGCTGAAAATTCAAAGATGTGGGTATCCTGATAACTGTAACTTCTAATACAAACTAGAGTAAACATACACACACACACTGCTGAAAAAAAGAGAGGCAAAGATTCACTTTTAGGTAAGTGCCATTGGACAATGATTTTCATTTTTGTTTAAAAATGAATTAATAATTAATAAAAAAGACTTAAAACTATATGTTAAAAAAAGATTTTTAAAAAGTTCTGTACTTAAATATTTCTAAGCAGTTTACAACTGGCGTCTAATGATTTGTCTTCATTTTCTGAGATGAAGAAAGGAGTTTATATATTAGCTACAACCAGACAGGAAAAAGTCAGATTTTCCACTGACCTTTTTCTAAACCCAAAGAACCACTCAAGGAAAACAAATGAGCACAACTTTAAAAAAAACCCAAAACTGTACAGAAACAATACTGTTGTAGTTGTAATAACACCCAGTAAACGCAATAATAATAATAATCTTTTATGTGGATGTCCTGTGGGCTATGGGGACCAGTTAGAAGCGAGAAGTTGGACGTCAGTGGTTGGACTGGTGGACTACTTCAGTGAAGAGTAGACGACGTCTGGCTCTGGTTTAAAGTCTGAACACAAACACACACAGTTCAAACGACAGGAAACATGATTACAAGCCTTGTAGGTCAATCAAGACCTCCATGTCCCCACCTCTCTGCATCACGCAGTCTCAGTTCACACTTCCTCTAAAAAGCACACAAAACTCGGCATCTGTTTTTACTACACCTGCTATTTGGTAGTTTTAGCTCAAATGTAGCTTAAACCTCTTTCTCCCACGGCACTGCTATTCTCCAACTCATGTAGAACCCCCCCCCCCCCCCCCCAAAAAAAAAAAAAATCTGTCCAATGGGACCCCCCCGCCCGTCAAAGAAAAAACACAAAACAAAACAAAAAACTGAAGTGTGAAACACAGTGATCATTTGGCAGACAGAGAGGGATAACATAGATTTTAGACGGTGATGGCTATACTGTTAGTGATTCCAATGATGCCTAACTAATAGCTTATCCAGTAAATCCACAACTACCTTTTGACTGAGGGTGCTTGACCCTGTTGAAATCCATTCACTATAAGTATGTCTAAATTGTGTACTAGTGGGAAGTTTATTAAAGCCAGAGTGTGAACTGAGACACAGTTTTTTGCTTTTTATTTGGTTGATTTTTATTAATTGTGGCAACAATTTGTTTTACATTCAGAAGAGAATGTACTTAATTACTTACTTGTGCATGCACTGACCTCATTATTAGAAACTTTGGCCATGGTTCACATGAACATCCACCACTGGAACTGGTGATAAAATGCATACATATTATTAAAATGTGGGATATAATGGTTGTATTGATGTATATCAACTTGAAATACTCCCAATAATGGCTCTACAACATGTAAAAATATAATATAAGCTCTGGCGGACTTGGTTCTATGGTAGGTCTTAAAGGGTTAACTGGTCGTTACTGAAAGGAAACCTCACAACTTTCAGTTCTGTTTCTAGTTTGCAGGCTTTTTCTTGAGGCAAATTTATAGATGAACATATAATCAGTTGTTCATATACTTCACATCCTTCAGTCTGGATGTTAAATATTAAAGACAGAGAGCAGCTGTACCTGAGCCTCCTCGGTCTCATGGCTGTTTGTCCATTACTGACGTCTTCTGTTCTCACTACTGAGTAGATCGCAAGAGAGTCTGTTACTGCAGAATAAAAACAAATTTTAAATACAGCATTACAAGACTGCTTTGGAAATATTTTTTTCATTTTGTTTTAAATGATGTTTTTCCAGTTGGTTTTGATCATTCATGAAAATGGTTCTAATTCCTAAACAGTTGACGTAAAAATCCACTGAATCAACCAAAAGTCTGCCCTTTATTCATGTCTTTATTGTTTGATTTAAAATCTACTGATGTGGTCTAAAGTGGCAGAACTGCAAATTGTGGACCTAACTATTTCTGTTTGTGAATCTTTATGCAGAAATTAAGTGATAACATTTATAAATAGCACCAGATTATTTTCCTCCACTGACTTCTTAACACAACTGCTGTGACACAACTGACCGCAGAGTAATGGGGGACGTTTCTGAGACAATGAGGGCAGATGACCACAAAGCTGGCATCCTCTTTAAATGCACACTGATGCGCTTCACCACAGAGCACAAGACACACACCTTCTAACTCGTTATCTGAAACAGAACACTCTGTGGTGAGACCTTTCACCAGCATCAGACTGCAGTTAACAAGAAACAACAACCGGAAAGTGCTGCTGTGGTTTTACCTGCACAACTTTAAAGAAGCCATAAGGACTCATGTTTTAGATGGCATTTGGTCTTTATATATGTCACGGTGACAATAAATCCTCTCTGATAATCCTACTAACAACATGTGTGCGTGCCAAAAGAAAAAGCAGAGAGCAGACATATGTGGGACTAAGCCACGTTTTGAGTATTTCCAGTGTTGGGAAGGTTACTTTTAAAATGTATTCCATTACAGAATACAGAATACATGCCCCAAAATGTATTCTGTAACGTATTCCGTTACGTTACTCAATGACAGTAACGTATTCTGAATACTTTGGATTACTTAATATATTATCATGCTTTTTACAACAACGTAAATGTACTATTGCTGTGTGATTTATTACTATTACTGAAGGTCCGCGACTCCGAACTGTAGTAAAGGGACCTCTGACTAATACGGCGGGGTCCCTGTCGGCTCGTAGCTGAAAAATAGCTTTACTTTGTTGCGTGGGTCAACTTTTCTTGTGAGAGACAGAGAGAGGCGTTGAAAGGCTGCTCCAACGGAGCTTATTGTTTTCGGAGGAAAACACGAACACGGTGTACAGTCGAGTCTTAATAGCTTACTTACAACTGGGCTCGTCAGGCACTCTTCTTGGCTGCAGTGGTTATTATTATATTTACATGCTTCCAGCTCCCGTTTTTCCTCGATGACAGCTCG